TTTTAGTTTTCTTAATCGTTTTAATGATTATAGAATCTATTTTTATCAATTAATTAAAATCATAATAAAATTTTAGACATATGTCGAAACATGAACGACAACATAATGTTTCCAATTCATCTAATATAACAACTGCATCATCAAATGAATATCCTGTTCGAGAAGCTAAACGAGCACGAATTGAAAATATAAATTCATCATCATCATCAAATACAAATTGGTCAACAACACTTTATATAGATACTCAAATTAAAGATGAACCATTAAAATTAAATACGGAACAACAAAATGGATTTTCATCATGTTTTTTAACTGATAAATTATTAATGCCTGATAATAAAAAATCTTTTATTCCTCAACAAGAAAAAATCGAGTAAATTTTCAAAATAATTATCATATATAGAAAAAAAAATGTTCTAATGTTTTTTTTCATAGTGATTTACAAAATTTACGTTCATTACAATCAAATAGTAGTTATTCAACAGAAGAATTAAATTGTATACCATGTACACATCAACATAATCTTATTGCATTACGTACAAATGTTTGGACATTATTACGAATGTTACTTCCACAACTTTCACTTTATTATCCATCAGTATCAATGATTGATTATGAATCTGATCATTGTATTGATCGTCTTGTAGCTAATTTAATACAAATACCATCATATTACAGATCATATCCACCTGTATAAATTATAGAATTGATTTGTTTTCTGTGTCTGTTTCTTTTTTTTTCTTGCTTCGTAAAAATATACATTATACTAATTTTATTGGGTTATGCTTCACATTTACAGGGGAAGCTTGTAGTATATAATTAATTGAAGATTTTTATATTTTAATATTTATTAAGAATAAGTATAAGTATAAGTATAAAAATAAGAACCAAAAGAAAACAAAATGTAATACATATTAATTTAATCCATAAATTCATTTTTGATTGCTTTAATTTTTTAACTAAACGAAATTCATCAACACTTTGTGCTATATAATCCGAGCCAGCACTTGTATTTAACCAAATATTATCGGCTAATTCATTTTGTTCTTGAACAGAAAAATATAAAGCCATTGTCATTGCACTAAAATAGAATTATTTACTTGTAGTTTCAAACGAAAACTAAGAGCTTTTTTTTATTATATCTATGTATGAAAAGTAAACTTTTTGAATCTTATTAGTCGGAGAAAGATGAATAATGTAATTTTATTCTGACAGAAAATAATTCAAGTTAGTGAGTTTTGAAAAGTACTTCTTTTTTGTCTCTTATGTTCATATATATAAAGGATGAGGGCGGATAAGACCGTTTTCCTACTCCAAAATATTTCGGTTTCTTGTGTTGAAATCAAGCGAGGAACGTCTCCTGCTGATTCGTTTTGCAACAGCTCTCAATCGATTTTTCGACCTACATTCGTACCCCCTACAGGGATGACCAAACAGCTTTTCCTCGTCTCTGTAGGAGAAGTACAGGTGTGGGTCGAAAAATCGATTGAGAGTTGTTGCAAAACCAATCATCAGGAGACATTTCTCACTTGATTTCAACACAAGAACTCAAAATATTTTAGAGGGCAGGAAAACGGCTTTATCCACCCTCGTCGTTTGCAGTTATTAAAATAGAAATAATAAGGTTATATTTATATTACTCCATAAGACTCATTTTTCATGAAGTATGAGATTTCCAATCCAAGGATTTTGGTCTTGTACTCATGACTTTGCATTTAAATTCACATAGAATATGTCATGTAAAGCGGATTAACATGAGAATATTTGATGAAAAAACAAAGTATGTTGTCGTACTGCATATTTATAGGATGACTTTGAGTGGGAACTAATGAGTATTTCTTGGATGACAGATTCCGAGTAGAAAATTATTACTTCATTTGTCGAACACGTTCTTTTAATATTCTTAAACTTTCTAAACGTGTTTCAAGATCAACAATTTCTGTTTCTTGTTCAATTAAATTTTGTTCTTGTGATTCAATTGGTATATTATTTTCATCTGTATTAAATAATGATTTGATTTTATCCCTTGTTACTCGTGATATTTGTTGATACGATTCAACAAATATTTTTGAATTATCAACAGATTGTTTAAGATCATTTTGATAATCAATTGAATCAGCATTATGTTGTGTTATAATACGTTTAAATGATAATTTTAAACTATTCAATTGATTTTGTACAATACGTATATAAGCTGGTATATAAGAATTTCTTTGTTGATCAATTAATATACTTTTACGAAATTCATCTAATGCTGGTTGAACAAGTTTTTCAAGTGATAGAATACGTTGATGAATTAAAAATGATAATTTATATATTGTATCATTAAGTATTTTTAGTTGATGAAAATAATCTTTTTGTCGATTTTCTAAACGTTCATATTTATAACTATCATAAATTTCATGAAAATTTATTGTATCTTTCGATAATTCATGTATATATGACCATGTATCATAGACTTCAGGTAAAAATTCTTTACATTCAATTTCAATATGTGTATCTGTTGATACAATTGAATTATTTGTTGTCATAAATTTTTTAATATATGGAAAAATAATTCAGACATTCTTTTATCGATAATCAATGATAGAAAAATCAGAATTAATTACAAAATTTTCCTCAAAAAAAATGGAAGAAAATTAATTTTCAAATTATAATACCAAACAGAAGAAGATTATTTTGATTTTAACATTAAATTTCCTAGGCGCGTAATTATTTAAAAATACATTTTATTCTCTCAAAAATATTTCTAATTACACAGATATTTTCTTAAGTATAAAACATTTTTTTTCTATTTATTTTACAAGTGTTCTCAACAACTATTAAAAATAAAAGATAGTTTATAAAATAAGAAAATATTTCTAACAATCTTTTTAAAAACAACCGACACACCGAGTAGAATAGCAACATCGATTCTCTAAGAAATCTAACTATGTTTTCAATCAAGTAAGATATATTTTCGAAAAATAATTCCATAGGCATGTATTTCTTTAGACAAATAATATTTATATCGATGATTCTTCAGAATCTTTTTTATCAATCATTATCAGCAACCGAAGGTTCATTATCAGCTGATTATGGTCGTATATCAAATATGCCTGATGATTCCATTTTTGTAACAGCTGCTTCAACTCTTACTGATTGTATTCGTCAATGTGTTGATTTTGAACGAGATTTAGATATATATGTATTTGATCAATGTTTTGCTTATAATTATCAAATTGATCAATATACATGTGAACTTATACATTCTGTTAAACAAATGAATTATACAGTTGGTTTTCAAACACGATGGATAACTGGTCTTAAATATTGAACAAAATCAAAAAAATGAAACGTTTATTTTTCTCTCTTTTCGCTTTTGTAATCAGAAGAATTTTTATTGTGTTAAAATAAAGACTACAGTGTTTGCACAAAACTAATATGGAATGTGGGGAAGAAAAACTGACTATATAGATTCAAGACTACATGATCTAAATAAACAAATCAAGTTGAGAATGTTAATGTTTTCCGGATGATTTTGTAGCATCAGCTGAACCACTTGCTTCACCTTCCTCATAATCAGATTTAAGTTTTGCTAATAATTTATCACATGTTTTTTTAGCATCACCTAATAACATTGATGTATTTGGTTTAAAAAATATTGGATTATCAACGGCTAGAAAAATAAAAATAAAATAGAATAAAAAATTGTTTCCTATGAACTGTTCAATTTACCAGCATAACCGACACCAAGTGATCGTTTCATAACAACAACCTAAAAATGTAGAAATAAATATTTTATAAATAATAGAAGTATACAAAAAAATTTACTTGTTTAGCGAGCCAAACTCGAAGAACAGGCATTCCAGCGATAATACTATTTGGATCTTCTTCAGCAGCTGAATTAACGGTATCATTGGCACCAATAACAAGAACAAGATCAGTGTTTGTAAATTCATGATTAAC